GCCAGATTAGTCTCCTCGCACCTCTTCAGAACGAGTTCCAGGTTATGGAGACAGTGAGTGAAAGAGTCTCCATATACCGAGAAATCATCCATGAAGACTTCCATGATCTCTCCAACCAGTCGGTCGAAGATCGCCAGCATGCATCTCTGGAAGGTCGCCGGTGCATTACACAGCCCAAATGGAATCCTCCGGTAAGCAAAAGTGCCGAAGGGGCAAGTGAATGTGGTCTTCGCCTGATCCTCCGGTGCAATAGGAATTTGGAAGTAACCAGACATGCCATACAGGAAGCAATAGAACTCATGGCCAGCCAACCTCTCCAGCATCTGATCAATGAAAGGAATGGGGAAATGATCTTTCCTGGTGGCGTCATTCAGGCGCCGGTAATCGATGCAGACTCTCCAGCTGGTCACGGTCCGCATCGGGATCAACTCCTTCTTCTCATTCGGGACCACAGTCATCCCGCCTTTCTTCGGGACCACCTGAGTGGGTCTGACCCACTTGCTATCAGATATAGCAAAGATGATCCCTGCATCCATGAGTTTCACAATCTCTGCCCGGACCACTGCCTCCAAGTTAGGAGACAATCTCCTCTGTGGCTGCCTGACTGGCTTAACCTCATCCTCCATCAAGATTCTGTGAGAGCAGAAGGATGGGCTAATGCCTCTAATGTCGGTGATCTTCCATGCCATGGCCCGGGCATACTTCTGCAGCAGAGCCACCAGCCTGCTCTTCTGCTCGGGGGTCAGATCCGAGCTAATGATAACCGGGAGCTTATTCCCCTCCCGGAGAAATGCATACTCCAGGTGAGATGGGAGGGGTTTAAGCTCCAACTCTGGTGGCTCCTCCAATGATGTAGCGAGCCGGGGCGAGATGGGGATCGACTTGAATGGTATCTCTCGCCCCTCGCTCGCAGCCTCGTCCAGCTCCGCAAGCTGCTCCTCCAGCTGCATATCCTGTGATGCCTGTTCCCCTAGCAAAAGACAACGCTCAAGGAAGTCATCAGTACCCGCACTCGTGATGGCGAGTGCGGTCTCAAAATCAGCAACAACATCACAGTAATCAAGATCATCATGGAGCTGGGGGGTGTTTCATATTATCAGAAACAGAGAAGGTGATTTGTTCACCCCCAGCTCTTAAAATCAGTTTTCCATCATGAACATCAATCAGCGCCTTGGCGGTGGCGAGAAAAGGTCTACCCAGTATCAATGGCACATCAACATCCTCATTTATGTCCAAAATCACAAAATCAACAGGATATGAAAATGGCCCTACTGCGACTATCAAGTCCTCTGCTATACCCCTAGGATGCACAATAGATCTATCAGCAAGCTGGATGCTCATCCTAGTATTACTGGGTTCACCTAGGCCTAGCTTCTTAAACAGTGAATATGGCATGACATTAATGCTAGCGCCTAAATCCGCCAAGGACTTCCCTACATGCAAACTACCAATCTTGCAAGGGATAGTGAAACTCCCTGGGTCTTTTCGCTTCTCTGGTAGTTTGTTCTGCAGGATGGCAGAACACTCCTCGTTCAGCATCACCGTTGACAGCTCCCCAAGCTTCCTCTTGTTGGTGAGGAGATCCTTCATGAACTTGGCATACTTGGGCATCTTTGATAATGCCTCCACGAAGGGCATGCTAATATTCACCTGCTTCAGCATTGCCATGAATTTGGCAAACTCAGTCTCCAGTCGGTCCTTGTGCAACCGAGTAGGAAAGGGAAGCTGGGGTACATACTCCTTCACCACTGGCTGCGGTTTAGGAGCAGGCACCTCAACCTCCTTCTCCATTTCTTCCTGATTAGCTGGAAGTGCTGAAGCAGGGGTCTCTCTCTCCTTTGCCCGAACAGGTGGATCGGCAGTCACCTTGCCACTCCTGGTCATGATGGCACTGCAGTTGGCATCCGGGTCCTGCGGGTGAGGGATGGTCTGACCAGGCAAGGTACCTGGAGTCCTCCGAGCAACAGCCTGGGCAACACCACCAAGCTGGGTCTGTATATCTCGCAGCACAGCCTGTGTGTTTCTCTGACCAGCTTCTAGCTCTAAGAACTTGCCTGAAGCTTTCTCCATGAACTGCTCAATGTTATTGAATTTATTTGCACTGGAGGTGGCCAGAGAACCAACCAGATCTCTCAGTTCCGCCATCGGGTCACTCTGTACTGGGGCTGCAGGTGCTGCCCCTGCCTGCTGAAATGGTCGTGCCTGCGACTAAGGTGGAACTGGCCCCTGTCTGGGCGGGTAGAGTGGCTGCTGTGGCTGCTGAAATTGCCCCTTTCTGGGCTGGTATGGAGGCCTCTGAAAACCGGGTGGTCCCTGGGGAGCTGGTGGTCTGGGATTTGGCCCAGCCCAAGAAAAGTTAGAATGCTGGCGCCACCCCTCGTTATAGGTGTTGCTGTAGGGGTCAAAGCGCCTGGCATTCCCGATGAAGTCCACCTGCTCCTGGGGAGTAGACGACTCCCTCATCGCCTGACAGTCCTCCACGGTGTGATGAGAGCTCTCACACCACTGGCAGTGCATCGCCTGCGGCTGTCCTGTACCTGCAATCAAACCAGAATGATCGATAGCTGAAACCAGCTTCGATACCACTTGCACCAAATCAGATGACTGGGTGCCCACAACATGCACAACTCGTCCTGGTGCTCGTCTCGATCTCCTAGCAGTGCCCCAGTCGTACCCGTTCTCCGCCATCTCCTCAAAGAGTTGATTCAGCTGTGGCGGGATTTTTGTCAGCATGTTCCCGCCACAAACCGAATCAATCAGCTGCTTGTCCTCCGGGAAGAGGGCGTGATAGAAGGTGCCCGCCTTGAATGCATCATTGAAACCATGATTGGGACACCTGAGAAAGAGACTGGTGTACCTCTCCCAAGCATCCCTGATGGTCTCATCCTCATCCTGAGCAAAATGTGTAATTTGCTTCTGCAGGTCAGCTGTCTTGGATGGAGGATGGTAGCGGGTGAGGAACTTGTCCGCCAGGTTGGCGAACGTGGTGATGGAGCCCGGAGGTCGAGTGTCTAGCCACTCTTTGGCCTGCCCCTCCAGAGTGAATGGGAAGTACCTCAGCTGGATGGCATCTGCTGGTACCCCATTGATCTTGATTCCATCGATGAGCTCGTGGAATCGCCTGAGATGTGATCGAGGGCACTCTCCCTCCTTATCACGGAACACCACTGAACCGCGCAGCATGGTGATCACTGAGGTGTTCACCTCAAAGTTGTTGGCTGGGACATGAGGGTGTTGAATGGGTGACCTCATGTCTGCAGCCCTAGCGGTCCAGTAGGATCCCATGGTCCGCTCCTCGGGGATCACAGCACGGTTCTCTGGATCACCCATCTCTTCTTCCTCTTCTTCTAACTGCAGCTGTGTTAGCGCCTCCTCCGCAGCCAGTCGCGCCTTTAGAGCCCGCTTGAAGTTCCTGCAAGTTCGTTCAAACTCCTAGTCTAATGGTAGTAGTTCTCCCGACTGGCTACAGGTCATGCACTACCTGCACACAATCAGCAGAAGCAACCCGTGAAGGCACACAGGTGGAAGAGATAAAATGCAGTAAATAAAAAGCTAGAGTAACAAATTCTCACGTTTCCCCAATAACCTAGAGGGTTCCCTGGCAACGGCGCCAAAAACTTGACACGCCAAAACACAACACCAAACTGCGACCAAGTGTAATCGCAGTCCGGGAATGCAGTAATAGGCAAGTTATATTATCAACCCGGGGTCTAGATCTACTGCTTACTCCGTGATTCTCTATTATCTAGCAAACTAATTCGAGTGATTGTTGTTTAAAAGCAAAAGCAGTAAGAAAGCAGTAAACTGTTCGGTTTTCTAAAGCAGGTAAGAGTCACTCGGGAATGAGTCCCCCTAGCCCCTTAGTTAGGTTCAATTGTAATTACCTGGGTTGATTTACTGTTGATTAGACTGCGGAAGATCCGACAGTAGCTTGGAATAAGCTGACCAAGCCCTCTCAGTCTAACTACCCGACAGACGACTAGTCTTCACCGGGATAGAAAGCTGAAGCAGTAAGCACAGAACTCCACTACTGGAATTGAGTTCCAGTACAAAGCAATAAACTGGCTAACTCTCGTATAGCCAATCTCCTACTATCGAATGAAGAAGCTCTAACAACCTAATCAGATTCTATCTATCTCAGGTTGCAGCAGAAATTGAGAAAAGCTGATCAGACTCCAATCAATTCAATAAACATGCATCATTCGATTAAAATCAAACAATAATATCATCCCAAGTCATTACAACCAAATCCCTAACACAAGGAACTAGGGTTCTTCATACCCAAGTGAGAGAAAGGTTCTACTCCATAGAGAGAGAAAGGAAAACAGAAATCAGAGTAGTCATACTCATAAAGATGAGGAAAATCTGCTCTGGGATGTCAATCTTCACTCCTAGGGACGTAATCTGGGCTTCAATGATGAGAAATCCACTCCAAAATAGCTCCTAGGGTTTGTTCTTCGCTCTTTCTCTCTCTAAAACTCTGTTTTTGCTTCAGAAAATCGAATTTTTCTTCCTTGGCTCGAATCTGCCTCCAAAAACCCGACTCTAGGCGAATTACGGGCAGAATTACGACCGTAATCACGTCCTGCCCGTAATTCGCACCCAAACGCACGTTTCACTTAAGCTGCATGAGGAGGAGATACGCCCGTAATTTCCCAATTACCGCCAGTAATTTGGGAATTACGGTCGTAATTCTTGGGGTCTTGCCCGTAATTTTATCACCGAGAGGAAATTCTGGGGAGAAGGCTCGGCCATTAATTTACGGGCATGCCCTGGCCAATTACGGTCGTAATTTGGCAGGGGCTGCCCGTAATTCTGTCTGTGATTCGCCATCTGACCTCCAAATGACCCGAAACTTGCGCCTATGCACCTCCTTACTTGCTAGGACCTGAAATACGACAAAACAACACAACCTAGCGTAAAATAGGCCAAGGAACAATCAATTCGAGCCAAAATGGGCAGGAAACCAGAGTGAAAACACGTGCAAATACGATGCTATCAAATACAGGCGACCAGTTCTTGACAGAGATTTCGTTGGTCGGTGGTGGATTACTTGGATTTGAAGGGCAATCCGAAAATGGATTCCGGGTGAGATTTCTCGCTATCTCTCATCCATCGGTGTTGAGTACCTCTATATCTTACTCTGGTTCTTCTCTGTTCTCCTTTTTTGGCGGTGTCTATGAAGCAATCTCCTCATTGTTAGCCGGTCAATTAAGCCAGTAAGGTCGCCTTTGCTGGAGCAAGAAGTAATCGGTTCTGAGATGAGTGGAAACTTTGGTTGGTCAAGCTTAGTGGAACCCTTGGTTGGTCAATGGATTTTAAGGGTACAGAGAGGGCTGCAAGAAGATGCAGATCAACGTATTGTCGTTTTGCATTTGGTAATTGTTTCTTTAATGATTGAGTTTGTCTTGCCTTCATGAATCTCATCTTTTCTTTGCTATTGACGACCACAATTTGACTTCGACTATGTCATTTTTTCAGCTGTATTCTTAGACTACAACAAAGGTGGTTAGGTGTTTGGAACAAGGAATGAACACATGTGTACGCTGGATGATCCCATGGTGACGAATTTTTAGTCTTGCCATCTGCTTTTTTGTATTGTCTTTGGCCCATTGCGGTTGCAGTAGATTGCATTCGGGTTTCGGGTAATGATATTCTTCATTTGTGTTGTTTGTGTGCTTTCCCTGCTCTTAATGTTGAGCATAGTGTTCGTTTGTGGATTAGGAGATGATGTTATTCGTCTGTCCGTTTGGCTGATAGTGTCTTTTCCCCATTGATGCATCGACAAGAAAATTTGGTCTCCTGCTGTGGCCTTTCATAGGATTATGACAACAAATTTTTATTGTATAGCTGTTGGTTGTAGAGTGATCAAATCAATACCAGCAAGCCTTCAAACTGCTATTCACCATTTGTTTTCCCTTACAACTAACCGGTTTTCTTGGTGTGCCAATGATTGAAAATGTGATTCAAGCCCTCCATAATTGTAAAATGTGTACTTTGTGAAGGCATTCTAGAGACAGGTGTCAGGCTAGAATATTTTCATTACAGCTTTTTTTACCACTTTGGTGGGGAACTTTGTTCAAAAGTATCTGTAGATTGATAGAAGTTTGGCGATAAATTTTGCTTTTGAGGGTTCCCCCTGTAATGTTTATTGTTGATCAGTTTTTCCTAGAAATTCTTTGCTTGGTTGGTTTGGGAAGTTCTTGGGTAGGGAAGCTTCAATATTTCAACTTATTTGTCTTAACCGGTTCGATGTAGTCTGTGCTACAACTGTAATTTGCAACAGATCCATTTCGGTATCTCTTTTGCTGTAGAGCGAACCAGATTTTCTTGATTTCTTCTCTTCTCTTTCAACTGCGTGGATTTGAGTGGTCCAAGGACTCTCTTTGCCATGATCCTTACTTAACTTAATGTGATAATAGTTAGGCGTGGCTCCTTGGATGTTGTATGGAGATTTGGTAACAAGTCTGCAGAGTAAGATAAGGATGGAGTTGCACCTCTTTTATTCCTGGAGAAAGTATGTTGGGTATGAGTAGTGTAGTATCTAAGTATAAATGAGATAAAATCTGAGGATTGCATGTAGATAATTGTAAACAAACCACAAAAGTCTAGCTCCATGACTTGTCAGTTTTTTATATCCCTGTCTTCTTTGTGTTCTCGGATCGTGCTGCTGATACAAAATGGATCCAAATCTTGAATAACCCCTAACAAACCACTTTGAACAAAGATCGGGTTGTGAGATGAATTCATGAATACGCAATGGTACTGGTCCGCTGGATGCAGTATACGCAGCCCAACAAAGAAACAAAAAGACAGACATTTTTACCCGTGCAAGCCGCGATAAAGAGCGGTGCCTCAAATGTAAAACAGGTGGAGTGTAGGCCCAAACAACAAAGCCCAATGTCCATTCGTTTTATGACACCGTCACAGACAGTTTGGCCTTTCGAATCCCTGAACTGTCGCAAGGCTTTCGAAGAAACCAACTTCTGCGTCCTCGATCGCAAACCGCCGCGATAGCCCCATACTTCGACCGCAGGAAATTCCTGCCACAAAGGTGGGTCCTCGACTACTTCTACGTCGCCATTCTTACAGTTCCTAAAATTACTGCTCATCGGTTTCTTCGTTGGGAAATCAGAAACCACACTTGAAATGGCCACGTCGCTGCAAGATCGGGAACGTGCACGATGTGATGCCATGGTCCCCACCGATTTTCAGGGTGAGTGCAGTCAGTTTTGGGTCGTTGGTCCTGTGAACATTATCGATTCCAATACGACCGTCCACTAAAAAAGGTTGGCCGCTTTGCTAAATCACAAAATCTTGAACTGTGTTACAGATCCTGTTGCATCTTCCGACACCTTTCGAGGTTTACGTTTGGGTTGCAACCATCGTACTGTGGTCGCACGGCTTGTCAGGTTATGGTTTCAATTCAGGAGAGGGAACATGAGGAGGAAGAGAACCATGCCATGCTTTGGCTGGAGAAAAAGGTTGTTGATTAAACACCAGACATCTTTGCATGATCTCACCATTCTTCATTTTTCATTATAACAAATTTGTGCATGGTGCTTTCAGCACTTAGATTACAAAGAATCTGAACAATTTCTCACATGCCAAAGGAGTGTTTCAATGATCGGCTGCTTTCTTACAGGACCAATTGCTCGAGGGAATGGTTGAGGAGGAGGACATCAGGGAAATTTCCACAAAAATCAAAGTCAACAAGCTCCATCGACTGGATACAGTTATTGTTGTCCCTGCAAGAGGAACGGGTCGGATTGTTCACAGAGAATTACGCTTATTGCTGACATCCAGACAGCAAATTTCCTACATTCACGAGGACCCCGAGAATCCCCAGTTTCCCGTTCGCTCATACATAAACTCTGACTTTTCAGTGGCGCCAAGGCAAACAAATAGCTACGACTGCCATTCAGGTGCACTTTCATTTGTTTATCTCATTAGAATATCCTAATAAATGTTGTTGTGCCTTAACTCAATTTTATGATTTAGACATCACGGGAAGCGTTAGGCGCCTCACAGTCCCAAGAACAATTGATGGAACCTTGAAAGAGTTCCTTTTGGTCATCGAGGATGCGTGGTATGTTTTCAAGAATTAATAACCATTATTTTCTTTATGAAAATTGACAGAATAACATATTTGTTATTACAAACAGTGGAGCAAAGGCCGTGGTTCGTTACCGTGGCTATGACATAGATGACTATTTAAAGGATGCACCAACTGCTGAAGCTCGCTTGCCTCTTATCACAACTGTTAAGTTAGCAATGCGAGTGCCTCCTTCAAATGGCCATAAATATGCAATCGAATTTGAATCCACGCCTGCCAGTAGACTGGTTATACGAACATACGCAGATGCCTTCAAGGACACCATGCACATGTACATTGCTTCCAATATTACCTGCACATTAGTTGACCAACAAATATTGCATCACCAATGAGTCAACGCTAACACAATTTGTTTGTCCTCCAATATAGTTTCCTAAGGAAGCGAAAACCAGTTCCTTACGTCAGAGTGGACACTGGGGAGAAGCTAGGTTGGCTGCGAGCACCAAGACCTGAAAAGAAGACACTTGGTGAGATTAAGGCAGGCCTTGGTTCTACAGCAAGCGGCAACAAGGTAGTCCCCTGCTGATTCTTTACACCCCGTGCACATCCAGAGATTTCTATAGTTAGCACACTGACATCAATAAAAAAATTTCGTTTGATTTCAAATCCTCTACGCCTGCAAGTTTGTTTTCACGCAGGTTATCTACAGAGAATCCATCTGCAGATCGACTCCAGAAATACCGAGGTAAGTTTTAATGATACCTGTGTCGTTTGTTCCCTAGCTAATACATATATTAGCTGCAGACCTAATGTTAACTCTTTGATACAAGCTTGCGCTATCAACTGGAAGCAAGATGCCGCGACGGTTCAAAGGAAGCTGACGTCGTGCTGGAACACGAGGCAGTTCTGTCATTGCTCTGTGTACCACCAAACAAGTACGCGGAGCTGAGTAAGGAGGACATCAACCATTTGCTCGGGAGGAACCGTGCCAAGACATTTGCAGGGGAGCTATACATTGCGTGGCCAGATCTGATGTGCCCAAATTCACATTCCGCGCCGCACATTCGAATTCCCACGCTATGGAACGAATCAGCCTTTGACAACTGATTCAGCATGCTTTGCCCAGTCCATTCACATGCTAGCTGTCAAATTCTGCAGAGAATGTCAAACAATTTATGCTTGTGTGCTTTCGCAATATGAGAACTTGCTATTAGGTTATCTTCTGTACTGTACATGTCGTTCCCTGAACATGACCCACATATTTTGTAGATCTTTGTTGGTCTGGCTATTTCGCAGCAACAACTGCCACCTGACTTAATCAGGTAGTTCAGTCGGCCTGAATCTATTGTAAATGTTGAAGACATATTTTGGGAATTACTTTTGCATATGTATCGTTATGTCATTGCAACAATAGTAATCAGTTAGCCAATTGGTCCCTAATATGGACTATGATTCAAGAGTTGTTTGAATATTAGAAGTGATGACAACAATTTCCTTGCATACTACCACCTTTTCCCATATGTGATCTTTAACATTATGATTATTGAAGCAGGAACTGGCTATTGTTACGTATTTATTCTTATCTTTTCATATCATCGAATCTAATGTTATTTGCAAATGCTTAGAAATGGCATTGCTTTGTATGCCTCCCGTTTATCAAGAATTATAGAGATCATTTGTGGTTTCAATTCTCCATCAGCAACGATATCTAATGCTGTAGTATACAAAATTGATGTTGGAAAGACCACACCTAAAAAATACAACCCGACTCTTCCATCTGGGCCTTTAGCCCAGAACTTATGCCTGATCTTATATCCCTTTCTTTCCTCTTTTCCTTTCATTTCGTCTACCTCCCAACCAGTTTTTTTGTGTGCCTGCTTCCTCTATTTCCCGAACCTTCTGTTTGGCTAACCAGAAGAATAACGCTACTGCTGTTCCACCTTTCTTATTCTTCCTCTCACTTAACCTTCTTCCTCTATTTCCTCATAGGAAGGCGATGTCTGCTCCTAAGCTACTTCTCGATCTTAATGGAACTGATGACCTAGAAACTATTCTGAAATTACGGCTCCTACATGTTTGGGTATCTGACGACCTAGAAAAACCATATTGCAGTCTCTGGACCGATGCAAAGGTAACACTCTATTTGCTTTCAGTTTGCGTATTTTGTAATAACATCTATAATCCTGTCATCTCTGTTGCTTCGCCTGCTACCTACTTTGACAGGGAACATTGATTCAAGGTGTCGCCTCATCAAATTTAGCTGCCCATTTTGGCATAATCCTGCAACTAGGCTGTGTATATTTAGTTGCTAGATTCCATATACAATAAACACAAACGATGTGCCATCCTTGCTCCCATACATTGAATTTGGTTCTTTCTCAAGAAACCAGATTTAACAATGTGACCATGATGTCGCCTGGTTTTTGTGCTAATTCGTTTGAGTTTGTTGCCTACAACTCCCTGTACTCCTTATCTCACTCAGCAAACCAGCTAATAGGTTTACCTACCAAACTACTTTAAACTCATGAGCTCCGCTTCAATTTGACCATTACAGTTGGCGAGCTGACTATGTTTGCCAACCTCTTCAAGTGTAGATGTTGTCGGCAATGTTGTGTCCGTAGCTGGTCTGTCATGCTCAGCAACCTCTGCTCATGCTATTATTAGGCGCAAGCTGGTCATACAAAACGAGAGGTTTTCGATGCATTACAATTATCTACTTTTCCAGTCCTTCATTTGTTATCTTTTATTTCCTCTTTTTTCGTTGTCTTTGTTTCGCTATATTTTTGCAGGCATGTACGCCTTAATATCACCATATGTGGTGATGTTGCACGATCTCTAGATGGGGAAGAACTAGCATACCTTGGCCGTTCTGGTTCTGTTGTGCTAGGTGTATGTAGTCTTCAATTAAGTGATGTAACAACAGGTTAGATCGCAGTTTTCGACCTGACAACTAATGTTTGCCTCATCTACATTATCATGTATTAATACTTACTTTTTCACTGTTTTTCCAAGACTCCATATTTTTGACCAGCACCCCTGCCACACGCTTTGTGCTGGAACCAGCTTGTGATTTGGCAAATCTTTTGCGCTCTGCGTAAGTAACTTCCAATGAAGCTTTTCAACAATTTACTTTTTCTTTATCTAATATTTTACCCAATGTATAGCTCTCTTGGTGGAAATGATACAATTCAATACTATCCTCCGTGGTTCTCGACCTCTTTTGAAGAACACCTATTCCAAGCTGACAGTACAAAAACAATTCTGGACCTGATCCACCTTTGCAACCCATCAATGGTTGATGTACGTGCTACTTACACAAACCTTACTCTGCCAGCGCTGCATTTCATGCATGCATACTGAGATCAAGCGTAACATGCTAATTTATAAAACCTAACCTATTTGTTTGTCGGGTTGCTTTTAGTTGGCCAATTGATGCAACCGTTTGTGTAATTCCATTTTTCCTGAACCAACAAAGTGCTTCCCTACCTAACTTACTTTGCTTGTCTGCTTTATTTACTTATAGGCTACACATTACCATTGCTTACCACATGTCCTCTCTGCTCAGTCTTCCCGACCATGGTTTTATCTAGGATGTGCATTTTGCTCCAAAACAGCTAGAGAGTTTCCTGGTACTACTGATTTTTGGTGTGATGAGCATGGGCAGTTGATGGGTCAGGAAACCCAGAAATGGTTTGTCTAACACAAAACTATTTCTTCATTGCAACTTCCACAATTAGCTAACCCTGAAATTCTTATACATTTTATCAGCTACAAAATCCATTTGGCAGTGGGGGACACTACAGGTTCTGCATGCTTTATCATGCTTGGAAAGACCGCTGAGTCTTTACTTGGAGTTCCTGCTAACGAACTGTCGGCGCGTAACCCTCAACAGCATGGCCATTGCCCTCCAGAAATTGTTGCCATGAATGGACGTTGGTTTTCATTTGACGTTCAACTCCCTAAACCTGGCTATTTACCTCAAACCCCTTTGGAGTTCACCATCCTTTCTGTGGCCAACCTCAACCAACCTCACCAGTAGGGAGTTTATTTTGTGGGCCATATGGTCCTTATGGAAATCTGAACATAATGTTTAGTGTTCCATTGATGGATGCTTAGGTTTTATTGAGATAGCAAGTTTTAGTGCCCGTGTGTTTGCATAGTGCAAAATTGCATGTTGATCTGTGCATTTTACGTGACTCCAAATCAAACTGACGAGTGCATAAAGAAGAGGTTTACAGTCCAATATAATTTGTTTACAAAATACACGATACGAGTCTTGCATCCGATGATGCACAAATGGTAGGATCTAAGTGACGAAAATTGCGCAATTTCAGCATTTCCCGCCGCGGAGCGCGGACTTATTACTAGTATACAATATTTGTGTAAATACTTTTTAATCTGTCATATTGATGTTAAATTAAAAAAAATATATATTATATCATTAACCCTCTGAAAATAAATGAACCAAGCCTACACGAGACGTCTAGACTCTAGACTACAATAATACGGGGATGGGAAACAATCGGGAAGAGCCACGTGAGTGAGAGGAAGGAAAACGACGGCCAGTGATGGAAGAAGGAGTGTGGCCGTCTGAATTCGTGGTCAAAGCTGACTGGGAAAGGAATGAATGAACAAATGTTGGGGCACCGATAAACCCTCCCGCATTGGCGCCAATGCCTCCGCCCAATAAAAATCTTCCCTCTCCTCTACCACCTTTTTTTCCTTCTCTGACATATCACGCAAAGTAGTATGCCACGCCATGCCTTCCCTCCCCCAAAATGTCAAAAAGCCCACCGAATCGCGCCACTTTTTCTGCCCAAAATCGTCATTTCCGCCTCGTCTCGAGGACTCCCCTTGCCCACTCTCTTCCTCGATATATGGACACATCACTCACAACTCTCTCACACCAATCTCCGTCGCTCGCCTTTCCCCCGCCGGAGCAACCGCAATGTCTTCGTTCCGCGCCGCCGTCTTCCTCCTCCTCCTTGCCGTCGCCTCCGCCCACGACTACCACGACGCGCTCCGCAAGAGCATCCTATTCTTCGAAGGCCAGCGCTCCGGCAAGCTCCCTCCCGATCAGCGCGTCAAATGGCGCCGCGACTCCGCATTGCGCGACGGCTCCACCGTCGGGGTTAGTCAGCCAGCCATCTCTCCTCTCCCTCTCTACTGCCGCTTTCAATTTTTCGCTCCTTCTGTACTTCCGCATCTTAATTAATTTGAAAGTAAAAAAAAAACAGAGGGATTTGACGGGAGGCTACTACGACGCGGGAGACAACATCAAGTTCGGGTTCCCGATGGCGTTCACCACCACGCTGCTGTCGTGGAGCATTATCGACTTCGGGAGGACCATGGGGCCGGAGCTGAAGAACGCCGTGAAGGCCGTCCGGTGGGCGACGGACTACCTCCTCAAAGTCACGGTCGATCCCGGCGTGGTCTACGTGCAGGTCGGCGACGCCTTCTCCGACCACAACTGCTGGGAGAGGCCGGAGGACATGGACACCCTCCGTACCGTCTACAAAATCGACCGGGACCACCCCGGATCCGACGTGGCAGGCGAAACCGCCGCTGCTCTCGCTGCTGCATCAATCGTTTTCCGATCACGTGACCCTTCCTACTCCGCGCTGCTCCTCAATCGTGCCGTTAGGGTACGTCGCTGTCACGCCCGATCATTGATTCGATTCGTTTCGTTTCGTTTCGTTTCTCCCCCCCTTTTTACCCACGGAAGGGGTAAAATTAAAAGACGGTAAAATAGTAAAAAATAATTTATTGTTACCTAGGTGTTCGAGTTTGCGGATACGCACAGGGGCGCGTACAGTAGCAGCTTGCACGCGGCGGTGTGTCCGTTTTACTGCGATGTCAACGGTTACCAGGACGAGTTGCTTTGGGGGGCGGCTTGGCTACACAAGGCATCCCGGCGGCGGGTGTACAGGGAGTACATTATTAAAAACGAGGTCGTTTTGCACGCCGGAGATACCATCAACGAGTTCGGTTGGGACAACAAGCACGCCGGCATTAACGTCCTCATTTCTAAGGTACTAACTCTTTTCTGTTTACTTACCACTCTGCATGCGGCGGGCTAAGAATGTGTTGTTACATCTCATCTTATTTCAATTTACTTTGTGTTTTACGGTATTTTATAATTTTAATTAGATATAATTAATGTTGGTTTAAAAAATTCATTTGTGCATAATCCGACCATTTGGGCTTGTCTTATGCTGCTGCTCTTAATGTTCTTCCTGTACTGCATGTATAATACTTGTTTCTTTGTGTGTGGCCAGTTTCTACATTTAGTCCTTGTGGTTGTCTAGGGAAACTCTTTTGTGTGTTATTAAATGTTTAGCTATGCAAACACGAATCTATATGGATGTCACATGGTGCATAGAAGGTTGGGGACGGGGACGAGGACGTGGGGAAATGGGTATCCTATGTGTGTGTGTGGGGCCCTTATAATATTCATTATTGTTTGTTCCTTTTTTGGAGTTTAAAATGTTGATTTCAAAGGTTTTTACTGGTGTTAATCGTGTCCTTGATCTGGACATAAAAAAGCCTAGATCAAAGGCAAGACTGAATTAAGAAAAAAACCCTTTGAATTATGAGGCTGGCTGGCTTTTCATTATTGTTTTTAATGATTTAAAGTGATAATAGAATAGATAATGGGGAGTAGGTTTTTTTTTCATGATTGCACATGATTAGCTTGACAAAGTTTTCCATGATCTTCATGTCATGTGAGCTCGGAATAGAGAGGGGTTTCTTTTCCCTTCCTTACTCCCTGCCCCCTATCTCCTTGCGAGAAATAAGCATTGAAAATGTGGACACGTCTCTCCCTCAATGAATGAATTGCAGGGTACGATAGATCACCGATCGAAAACATGAAAATTCAATTGAATGTTGAAAAAGGGTGCATGAGATTAGCAACTTTTTGTGTCGCTGCACAGCACAGGGACTGAGACTCCCAGGGCTTGTCATGCTCGGTTTCTCCTTCCAGGTCTTCCCTTCGTTCACCCTATTGAAAAGCAATTACCAAAAGGGTGAATGAATGACTGAAGAAAAGGCCATTTGCCCAGTGTGAATCAAAAGTGGGTTTCTTTCAGCCAATTGAGTCTTTTAACATTTTTATGGCTCTCTGTTCATGGGGTCCCCAAGAAGAGAAATAACTGTGCTACTGACTGCAATGCATGTGCTACCAATAGGGCTTTTTCTGAAACAAGGAAGGACTGATTAGGGGGAAAGGATTCTCACTGTGGTGGATTTATGGCTCTTCTTCCCATACTCTTTGACCATTTTTCGCTTTGTTGTTGATTTTTCCTCTCTTCCTTTTTCAACACCATGATATGCGAACTGCCAAGCAAATGGGTTTTGGAAATAATATTTTCAACGTCACATGCAGGAAATGTGTGTGTGTCCTTGTTTTACTTCCGTTTTCTTTTCTTGGTTACATTACATGGCAAAAGATAAAGGGGAAAAAAACTCTCTATATCGTGCCTGTGCCTGTGTCTGTGTCATACGAATGACAACTTTTTGGGGGTGTGCAATCTAATCTCTCTGCAATGAATAAGAAGTAAAGTGGAGTGGGGATAATACAATAATAATAATAATAATAATGCTGTTTTGGGTGGTGTGAACTGAAACAGGAAGTGTTGATGGGAAGAGCAGACTATTTTGAGAATTTCAAGCAGAATGCAGACGGGTTTATCTGTTCTTTATTGCCTGGCATTTCTCATCCTCAAGTCCAATACTCTCCAGGTACACTTCACCCTTTACCCCTGGCCAGCTAGTTGCTTCACTCTCAGAGATTAAACAATAATAAAAAGTTTACTAATGAATGACAGCTATAGAACCATTACCTTAAGTGCATGTTCACATGACGTGAATAAATAATTACAGCAAGTAGTAATAAGCACGTGAATGACTGAGCCAGAGAATTGAGTGTAGAGCCATAAACAAACGATTCTCCATTTGGTGCAAACTGCAAATCTAAGCTGGATTCATGATCAGAAGTTGTTTTTGTTTATACAAACAATATTTATCAGGCGGGCTGATCTTCAAGGCCGGCGGGAGCAATATGCAGCATGTAACCTCCTTATCCTTCCTACTTGTGGCTTACTCCAATTATCTCAGCCACTCCAACAAGGCTGTCCCATGTGGTTCCCACTCTGCTTCCCCTGCTCTCCTCCGCCAGCTCGCCAAACGTCAGGTAATTTACTAATGGCATTTTCACTCTCACTATTGCTCTCCCCACTCAACTTTTGCCCAACGGTTATAGACTATGCCACTGGAAGTTCAATTGGGCCCAGTCTTCCCTACCCATCACAAACTGACCAATGGAACTCCTCCGCGGGACCATAGCCGAAATCAGTTAGAAACTAACGGCTATAGTTTTGTCTGTTGGTGAATAGAATACTGCAGAATGTCTGTTCCTCATCAATGACAACTTCCCATATCTATCTCTCTGCTGAATCACGTGCCGGGGCATGGGCAACTGTGCAGCGGGAGAAACCGTATAATGTTTTCTCGGAAACAATACTGACGAGACGACGGATCTTTTTACTTAACTGGCAGGTGGATTACATTCTGGGAGATAACCCGCTGAGGATGTCGTACATGGTGGGCTACGGTGAGCGTTACCCGCAGAGGATCCACCACAGGGGCAGCTCGCTCCCATCTGTTAAGGCCCACCCGGCCCGGATCCATTGCAAAGAAGGCTCGCTCTACTTCCTCACCCCGAACCCCAACCCGAACCGGCTCGTTGGAGCTGTGGTTGGTGGGCCCAATGTCACTGATGCTTTCCCGGACTCCAGGCCCTACTTTCAGGAGTCTGAGCCCACTACCTACATCAACGCTCCTTTGGTGGGCCTCCTTTCGTACTTCTCAGCCCATTCATGATTCAATCTCTCTCCCTCGCCTGTGCCCGACATCGTTATCGATTTTGCGGTTCGCCATCTTATTATCTACGTTTATTTGTCTTAGTAGCTAGTGGTAGTGGTGTGCGAAAATTGTCACCCTGCCTTCCTTTCCCCACGCAAATCTTCCTTAGTATTGATATTGTTGCAATATTGCCCTCTTTGTAATTGTTCACGATCCTTCCTAATTCCTACCTTAGAATGTTCAATGAAAAGGGAGAACGTATTGGTGAAAGTCGGGTGTTCACTTATTTTCCAACAATCTCGTATCTTGATTGGACAAAGAATACACTCTATAAATAAAGAAGCCTTCTCAGATTTGAGTGGTCAAGTACAAATGGCTGAGGGACTATATCTAGCCGCTCAGCAGGAGGCTCTAAGGTCTCCTTCCACAGATAAATTCTCAGAGGTTACTGCTCATCAGAAGAAGTGGGAGGAATTGAAGGTTGCCGAGGAAGGGTTGTATTGGAGAAAAGCCAGGATTCGAGCTCTAACTATGGGAAACAGAGGCACCAGGTATTTTCATCAATCTGTTAAAATCAAGACTGCAAAGAAGGCTATTAGGAAACTTGTTTTGGATTCAGGAGATGAAATTACAGATGTTAAGCTTATAGCTAGGGAAGCAGTTCAATTCTATCAGTCTTTGTTTGAGATGGTGGATCAGGGAGTGAGTCCAAATAAGTTGGAACTAGAGGCTCTGGTCACCAAACACTTGTCTGTTGATGAAAAGGAAATGCTTTGTGGGGTTGTCACTTCTGATGAGGTTAAATCAATAGTCATGCACATGAATCCACATCGAGCCCCTGGCCCTGATGGATTCTCTGCTGGCTTCTTTCAGAAAGCTTGGTCCATCATTGGGGAGGACATCACAACAGCAGTTCTTGATTTCTTTTCTTCTGGCAGGCTGCCTAGCAGTGTTAATTCTACTGCTGTTTCACTCATACCAAAGGTAACCTCTGCCTGTAAACTCAAAGATTTCAGGCCTATTTCATGCATTAATATACTCTACAAAGTCATTGCTAAGCTTCTATCTCATAGACTAAAGAGAGTTCTCCCAAGTATTATAAGTAGTAATCAATAAGCTTTTATAGAAGGGAGGAGAATTGTGGATAACATTCTTATGGCTCAGGAGCTGGTCAGTAGTTATAGTAGGAAGAACCTTTCCTCTCGCTGTGCTATTAAAATTGATTTGATGAAGGCTTTTGACTAGGTGAACTGGGATTATCTTTTCTTAATGATGGAAACTATGGTATTCCCTGTTAAGTTCATGTACTGGATTAAGCTCTGTATTAAAACTTCCAAGTTTAGTATTTGCATCAATGGGGGGCTTTGTGGGTTCTTTGGGGCAAGGAGAGGTGTAAGGCAGGGGGATCCTCTCTCCCCCTACCTTTTCACCATTGTTATGGAAGGACTGTCTTCCCTACTGAACAGAGCTGCTGTAAGGAAGCAATTAGTTTACCATCCTCAGTGCAAACATATAGGGTTGACTCACCTTTGCTTTGCAGATGACCTTCTGATCTTTACAGAAGGCTCTGCACAAGCAATATGCAAGGTTCAGGAGTTGTTGAATGAGTTCTATTCCCTTTCTGGACTTAAATGCAATCCGGGTAAATGTGAACTTTATTTTGGGGAGCTATCTGGGCTTTACAAAAGCAATGCCCTTCAGTTGTCTGGTTTCCAGGAGGGAAAACTCCCTGTCAGGTATTTGGGACTTCCATTATTCTCAGGGAAGCTCTCCTCAGCTGACTATGACAAGTTGGTTGAGAAAATCACTCACAAGATTGGGATCTGGCGTGCAAAGTAACTGAGTTATGCAGGAAGGCTTGAGCTGATTAATTCCGTTTTCATGGGCATCCTGCAATACTGGATGCAAGTTTTTCTTCTGCCTAAAAAGGTTTTAAAGAAGGTGTATGCTGTTTGCTCGAGATTTCTGTGGCATGGGGGAAGTGAGGGTAGAGCAAAAATAGGCTGGGACGGAATGGCTCGACCAAAAGGAGAGGGGGGGACTTGGCATTAAGGATCTCCTGGCTTGGAATAGAGCCTGTTCTATTCGAATGGTTTGGCTTCTTCTGATGAAGAGTGGTGCAATTTGGGTGGCCTGGATGTGGCGATACAGGATTAAACAGGGTAGTGTTTGGACCATGAATGTGAGTCCAAGTAGTTCTTGGGCATGGAGAAGGGTCCTCAAGCTTAGACCATTACTTCAGGCTCATCTAACACTGAATGGTGATACTCCTAGTTGGGATGGTAAATTGATGCCTGTCTATAAGGTGTCCACTGTGTGGAATTCTTTGTGTACTGAACATCAAAGGGTGGAGTGGGCAAAACTGGTTTGGGGGAAAAAGCATCTACCTAATAACAGTTTGCTAGCATGGCTGGTTTTATTGGATGATATTACTACCAGAGATAAGCTGGTGAGTTGGGGTAAGACATTGGATGGCTCCTGCTTGCTTTGCAGGGGGTCGGTGGAGACCAGGGATCATCTATTTTTTCAGTGTTCTTACTCTTTGCAGGTTGTTTCAAGCTGGCGAGAAGGTCACCTTCTTTGTCGACCGAGTTGGCAGGGAAGTGTGCAGGCTGCTGTTGCCTTGAACAAGAGGGGGACCTCGACAGGGAGGATCGCTGGGATCTTCTGGTGTGCTTGTGTTGCATATCTGTGACGTGATAGATGTAGCAGGCAACATCAAATGGCTCCTAGGGATGCTGCAGCTCTTGGTAGATTGATTATCTCTGATTTATTGTATTTGGGTAGTGAGGACAGTGACTTACAGGCAGACCTGGCTGATGCTGGTTTCCTATAGGTTGAGGTGGGAAGGTTTGAGTAGTCAGGTGAGGGGTTTTGGGGGGTTCTTTTTGATTCTCTGCAGGGTCACTTGCCTTGAGTAATCCTTTTCGTTGTATCAGTCCCTATATGTACTCTGCATATAGTTTTGGTAATACAATTGCAACTGATTCAACGAGAGAAAAAAAAATGAAGCTTAACACCAGTGATAAATTTTCAATTCAATCCACCAATTCATGAAAAATATCTACTTAATCCAATTTATTTGATCCAAATCCAATATAATTGGTGGATTCATGGATTGATCCATGGATCCAAATGACAAATTATTATTTGGTACATATACTTTTTATATTTTACATTTTGGTATCCAAAATTTAAATTTTTATACGAAAAATATCATTGGAAATTACATTTTGGTACCTAAATTTTTTCATCATGACATTTTAGTATCTAAACTTTTCACATTTTACATATTGGTCTAAGGTTGAGGATGTCATTTGGATTTATGGATAATCCACTTGATCCAATCCATGAATCCACTAATTCACTTGATCCAAACCCATTTAATCCATGGATACATTAATCCAATCCACCAATCCATGGATCAATCCATTTGCCACCTCTACTTATCACAAAGATAAAGTATGAAGTATATTACTATGACCCATAATCATAACGGATTGATATCGACATATGGATATGGTAGCCCAACTCCTAAGCTATGCGACTCGTGAATAGCTATCGAGAATAATGGAGAGAGATTCACAAGCTTGTCAACCAACCAAGGTTGGATAATTATGTACAAAGTGAACCTCTATTTATAGAATTCGAAAGTTAGTGCTCTCATTTCCCATATTATCTTGGAAATATAAACACACCTAAAAGGAATAACAAGCTAAATTGTTTGCTGAGCAGCAACAAACACGTGTGTTTAACACTAATAAAAGAAAGACAATTAAGTAAAACGTGTTGTTAGAGTAGAAAGACTTGAGTACTTGAGTGTTATTTTCTGAGTAAGAAAACGAATGCTAAGTGGTGTGCGGTGTGCCAACCCGTGTTACTAATCATTCGAAGTTCTGACACTGCCATAGAGTCATTGTACAACCAGTAAGCAAAAAGATCAAGATTGTCCTTAACCAAACTACCTATTGGGAGCAAGTGTAAGCCCAATTCCCCGTATAGATGACTGGGAATAATTGTGACCCAATTGTAATTATCACTTAATGATTTAATATATAAGGTAAGTCCTATATTGATTAGGTTAATGAAAGATAAATTGCTAATATACCTTGATGGTGGGTCTATATAAAGAAACCCTAGGATTGGTCCTCTCTCAAACCATTACGTAGAATTTCTTAGCCGTCACAGAAATCTCTAAACCTAAAACCTAAAGGGGTCAAGAGGGAGAAACTCAATTCTGGTGATTACTACTCAAACCACCGCCGTCGCTCTCGTCATGGATCGAGGTAGGTTTTCTTGATCTATTACCGATTCGTGAAATCATCTAATTCTAAGATCCATGCTATTATGATTTATGCTTACATGTGGTGTTAGAGCCTTAGGGTTTATATGAATGGATGATTTTCGATTATGTATTATGCTCGATTAGTCTCCGCTGCGTTTATATCAATAGCTTATGCATGATTAAAGCTTGTTGATGCTTCTGATTGATCATCTGTTTATTCTATTGAGTCCACGCGTTCGAGATTTGTACACAACTGTATTTAACTTCTTTGCGGTTGGTTCTTCTGTCTGTCGAGCAATTATTTGCCGTTTATCAAGAACATATATATGTGCAGTGCATGTATGTTTATGCTTACATGATATATTGATATGTTTGTTTCAATTATAATGATATGCGATGACAGTATCTTGCCTTTATTTCCTTTTCAACTAAAATCATGATAAAAGCAATTAGGCATGATTACAATTGCTTTTGTATGTGCGTACGATTGATAAAGCCTTATGTTTGTCTCGATGATGATTAATATTGTTTTTCCATTAGTAACAGTATGCAATTAGAGACTCAAGTTTTGGGTCTGCGTATTTCAAAGTATTATTAACAACTGTCTTACCTTAAGTTAAAATTTTACATTTGATATCTACTTTATGATTAATTTGTTAGTCACCAAAGTGGCAAAATTAGAAGGTTTATAGATATCAAGTTGAATCAAGTTCAATTGCTAATGTTTATGTAATGCTTTTAAGTTAAAGTTCGTGATTATAAAATATTTTGAATCGCCCAAAGGTTGATTGCTCGTTTTATAATTCATGAACATTATCGTGATAAATTGATATGCTTGGTTAGATATATTTAGTATATCCAAAGATTGCAAATATATCTAATTTGAGTATGTCTATCACCAATTATATGATTATTTTGAGCATCAATTACGATTATTTATCGCATATATATTGTTGTTTTGCCCAAAGGTAGGACCAATATATATTTTATGTTTATGCTTCCGAATCTGTATTATAGTTTATGCTTATTAC